TAACAAGCCCATGAAAAGATGCCCAACATCTCTAATTGTTAAGCAAATGTAAATCAAGACCACTAAAATACCACCTCACAGTTATTAAGATGGCTATTTTTTTTTAATTTAAAACCTAGAAAATAACAAGTGTTGGCAAGAACATGAGAAATTGGACTCTTGGGCACAATATCAGAAATGTAAAATGGTGCAGCCTTTATGGAATATAATATGGCAGTTCCTCAAAATTTTTAAAGTAGAATTACCACATGACCATCAATTTCACTTCTGAGTATATATTCAAAACAATTGAAAGCAGAGTCTTGAGGAGATATTTGTACATTTGTGGTCATTGCAACATTAGTTACAATAAGCCATCACTAGATGAATGGATAAACAAAATGTGGTCTATCCATACAATGGAATATTATCTACCCTTAAAAAGGAAGAAAACTCTGACAGATGTTACAACATGGATGAACATTTAAGACCTTATGCTAATTTAAATATGCCACTCACAAAAAGACAAATCCTGTATGATTCCACTTGTATGAATTACCTAGAGTAGTAAAATTCATAAAGGCACACAGTACAATGGTCATTACCAAGGGCTGGGGGTGGGGAGAAGGTGGAGTTGTTTAATGGGTAGAGAGTTTCAGATCTGCAAGATGAAAAAAGTTCTGGAGGCAGAGTGCACAAGAAAGTGAATATATACATAACACTAGTGAACTATAGGCATAAAAATGAATAAGATGATAAATTTCATGTTCTATGTATTTTACCACGATTAAAAATTTTTAAGTAGTAATTTTTTAAGTGAAGGAATGAAGAAAGGTATACTATGTTAATGCTAACCAAAAGAAAGCTTCAATGGCTATATTAATTTCAAACAAAACAGACTTCAGAGCAAGGAAAATTTTCAGGGATAAAGAGGAGCATTACATAAGGATAGAGATCAATTCTCCAACAAAACATAACAACCCTTAATGTGTTCACAACTAGCAACAGGGCATTCAAATGCATGAAGCAAAAAAAATGATAGAACTGCAAAGAGAAACAGATGAATCCACTATTGTAGTTGGAAAGTTCAACAACCCTCTGTGAGTAACTGACAGACTCAGCAAGCTGAAAATTAGAAAAATCATACTCGAACTGAACAGAACCATTAATCAACTGGATCCAAGTGACATCTATGGATATAATTGACAACTGTAGAATATTTCATTCAACAAAAAGAGACCATACATTTTTCTCAAGTTCAGTTCACATACAACATTCATCAAGACAGACCATATTCGGAGCTGTAAATCACATCTTAACAAATTTAAAAGAATGAAAGTCATACAAGGTGTGCTCTCAGGCCACAATGGAATTAAATTACAAATTAGTAATAGAAAGATAGCTTGAAACCTTCCAAAATACTTCTGAATTAAATAAACAGTACACTTCTAAATAACAGATGGGTCAAAGAGGAAGCCTCAAAAGAAATTTTAAACTATTTTGAACCAAATGAAAATAAAAATACAACTATCAAAATTTGTGGAATGATCAAAAGCAGTAATTAGAAGGAAATTTATAGCATTGAGTGCATAAATTAGAAAACAATAAAGCTCTAGAATCACTAATCTAAATTTCTACCACAAGAAGCTAGGAAAAGAAAAACAAATAAAATCCAAAATAAGCAGATTAGAAGTAATAAAAATTAAAGCAGAATTTTATGAAATTGAAAATAAAATATCAGACTTCCAGCCAAGATGGAGGCGTAGGTGGAAACACTGTGTCTCCTCGCACAACCAAGTTTAAAGACAACAAAGTTTTAGTAACAAAAACGCAACTAAAACACAGAAAATTGAACTGTACGGAAGTCTGACAACAACGAACCATTCAGCCAGACCAGTAAGAGGGGTGGGGAGCGGGGTCATGCAGGAAAAATCAGCCAGACTGACCCAGTCACGCAGGCAGCAGTTGGCAGATCCCAGGTACCAGGTGGCAATGGGCAGACCCAGTGTGGGCACAAGGCGGCTGGCTGACCTCAGTCACACATTCGCATGCAGATAAACCAGGAGAAGGAGCAAGCAGTGGGGCAGACCGCGCAGGCCCCAGCAGCTTGCAGGAAGCAGCAGAGGAAACCACCATTGCCCCTCTCTGACCCCGCCCCCACATACAGCGTCACAACCCAGAGACATGGGTTGACCCACCCTGGTGAACACCTAAGGCTTCACCCCTCATACATAATAGGCACGACCTGACCAAAACATTATGGCTCAAGCAGAAAAAGAGCTCAAAGCCCCACAGCCAATAAATCTAAGCGACCTAGAGATAGCTAACCTTTCAGATGCACAGTTCAAAACACTGGTGATTAGGATGCTCACAGAACTGGTTGATTTTAGTCACAAATTAGAGGAATAAATGAAGGCTAAACTAATTGAAATGAAGGGAAATGCACAGGAAACCAATAGTGATGGAAAGGAAACTGGGACTCAAATCAAGGGAGTGGACCAGAAGGAAGAAAAAAATGACCAAACAGAAAAGAATGAAGGAACAAGAATTCAAAAACATAAGGAGTGGCTTAGGAACCTCCAGGACATCTTTAAACGTTCCAACATTCGAATTATAGGGGTACCAGAAGGGGAAGAGGAAGAGCAACAAGTGGAAACCTTATTTGAACAAATAATAAAGGAGAACTTCCCCAATCTGGCGAAGGAAATAGACTTCCAGGAAATCCAGGAAGCTCAGAGAGTCCCAAAGAAGTTGGACCCAAGGAGGAACACACCAAGGCCCATTATACATTAGCCAAGATTAAAATGAAGGAGAGAATCCTAGAAGCAGCAAGAGATAAGGGGACAGTCACCTATAAAGGAGTTCCCATCAGACTGTCACCTGATTTCTCAAAAGACACCTTAGAGGCAAGAAGGGGCTGGAAAGAAGTATTCCAAGTCATGAAATCCAAAGACCTACATCCAAGATTGATCTATCTAGCAAAGCTTTCATTTAGAATGGAAGGGCAGATAAAGTGCTTCTCAGATAAGATCAAATTAAAGGAGTTCATCATCACCAAGCCCTTATTATATGAAATGTTAAAGGGACTTACCTAAGAAAAAGAAGATAAAAAAGAACAGTGAAAGGACAGCAAACTCACAGTTATTAACAACCACACCTAAAACAAAAGCAAACTAAGAGGACAGCTAGATCAGGAGCAGAACCATAGAAATGAAGATCGCAGGGAGGGTTAGCAACAGGGGAGTGGGAGGAGGAGAAGGGGGAGAAGGTACAGAGAATAAGTAGTATAGATGGTAGGTAGAAAATAGAAGGGGGGAGGGTAAGAATAGTATGGGAAATATAGAATCTAAAGAACTTGAGACAAGTGGACATAAACTAAAGGAGGGGGATGGTGGGGAAGGGGGTGTGCAGGGTGGAGGGGAATGAAGGGGGGAATAGAACAACTGTAATGGAATAATCAATAAAATATATTTTTAAGAAAAGAAAGTAAGATATCAGAGAAAATCAATGAAACCAAAAGTTGGTTCTTTGAAACGACCAATACAATTGATGAAACCCTAGCCAGGTTGACTAAACAAAAAAAGACACAAATTACTAATATTAGCAATGAAAGAGGGTCCATCATTGCTGATTCCATGGGCATTAAAAAGATAATAAATATTATGAACAAATTTATGCCCACAAATTTGATAACCTAGATGAAATTAACTAATTTCTTAAAAGACACAATCTACCAAAATTCACACAAAGAGAAATAGATCATATTAAACAACCTATATTACAAAATAAATTGAATCAATAATTAATAACCTTCTGAACCAGAAAGCACAAGGCCCAGATGGGTTCACTGATAAATTCTACCAAACACTTGAGGAAGAAATTATGCCAATTCTCTATAATCTCTTCCAGAAAATAGAATCAGAGGAAATACTTCCTAATTCATTCTATGAGGACATAGAATTTTCTCATAGAATTACTCGAACATCAAAACTAGATAAAGGCATTACAAGAGAGGAAAACTATAGACCAATGTATCTCATGAAAGTAGATGCAAAAATCTTCAACTAAATACTAGCGAATCAAGTTCAACAATGTATAAAAAGAATTATACACCATGATCAAGTGGGGTTTATTCCTAGTCTGCAAGACTGATGACAAGGAACCAGATGCTTTACCACTAAGATCAGGCAGGGATGTCCACTCCCTCCATTCCTATTCAGCACTGTCTTAGAAGTTCCAGCTAATGCAACAAAACACAAAGAGGAAGTGGAAGGTAAATGGAGAAGAAAGAAATAAAACTTCCTTTGTTCACAGATGACATAATTATCTATGAAGAAAATTCAAAAGAAAGGAGAAAACCCAAGAGAATCAACCAAAAAGTTGAGAAACTAATGTTACTGCGGCAAGGTTACAGAATAAGAAGTTAATATACAAAAGTCCATTGGTTGTTTTTTATACCAGAAATGAACAGAGGAATTTAAAATGTTTTAACTGAAATTTAAAATATAATACCATTTATATTAACACCATAAAAATGTACCTAGGTATATCTATAACAAAATATGTACCAAATCTATACAATGAAAACTACAAAACTGATGAAAGAACTAAAAGGCAATCTCAGTAAATGATGTTCTTGGGTAGAAAGACTCAATATTGCCAAGATGTTTTTCTCCTCCCAAACTGGTCTATAAATTCAGTGCAATCCAAATGAAAATCCCAGCTAGTTATTTTGTGGATATCAACAAACTGATTTTAAAAGTTTATATGGAAAGGTAAACTACCCAGAATAGCCAACAGAATATTGAATGAGAACAATATTGAATGACGGACACTTCTGAACTTTAAAATTTACTTAAAGCTAGGGTAATCAAGACGGTGTGGTACTGGTGAAAGAGCAGAAAAATGTATCAGTGGAACAAAATAGAGAGCCCAGAAATAAATCCACACAAATACAGTTAACTGATCTCCAACAAAGAAGCAAAGGCAATTCAGTGCAGAAAGGATATTTTCTTCAAGAAATGGTGCTGGACAACTGGACATCCACAGGTGAAAAGCAGTTTAGACACAGACCTTACCCTTTTCACCACAATTAATTTAGAATGGCTTATAGACCTAAATGCAAAAAATATAAAACTTCTAGAAGTTACCATAAGAGAAAATCTAGATGATCTTGAGTTTGTTGAAGACTTTTTAGATAAAATGAAAGCATGATAAAGAAAAACTTGGTAAGCTGGACTTCATTAAAATTTAAAACTTCTGCTCTGTGAAAGGCACTGCCAAGACAGTGAGAAGGCAAGCCACCAAATGGGAGAAAATATAAAACACACATCTAGCAAAGGGTTGGTATGAAAATATAGTTAAAAAACTCAAAACTGAACAATAAGAAAAATAGCAACCCAATTAAAAATAGCCAAAAGATCGAGACACCTCATCAAAGAAGGTATATAGACACAAATAAGCATACGAGCAAAATTCTCCCCATCATATGCTATTGAGGAACTGCGAGTTAAAACAGCACACACCCATTAGGATGGTAAAGATCCACATAATTAACAACCTTAAATGCTGGTGAGAATGTGGACCAATAGGGAGTCTCATTCAGTGCTGGCAGGAATGCAAAGTGGTTCAGACACTTGCAAGACAGTTTGGCAGTTTCATACAAAACTAAACATATGATCCAGCCATGATGCTCCTTGGTATTTACTCAAATGAGCTGATAACTTATGTCCACACTAAAACCTGCACATAGATGTTTTAGCAACTTTAGTCATAACCACCAAAACTTAGAAGCAACCAAAATGTCCTTCAGAAAATTAATAGGTAAATAAACTGTGGTACAACCAAATAATGGATTATTAGTCAGTGATAAAAAAGAGAAATGAGCTATCAAGCCATGAAACAACATGGAGGAACTTTAAATGCCCATCACTAAGTGAAAGAAGCCAATCTGAAAGTCTGCATACTATATGATTCCAACTACATAATTCTGGAAGTGACAGAACTACTGAGACAATAAAAATATTAGTGATTACCAGAGATTGGCACAAAGGGAGGGATGAATAGGCAGAGCATAGAGGATTTTCAGGGCAGTGATGCTGCTCTGTGTAATACTGTAATGGTTGGTACATGTCATTACACATTTGTCCAGACCCACAGAATGCACGACACCAAGAGTGAACCATAGCACAAATTATGGGCTTTGAGTGATAATCATGTGTCAGTGTAGGTTCATTGATTGTAAAAAATGTACTGGTGTGAAACTGATAGTGGGAGAGGCTGTGTGTAGTGCAGAGTAAGGAATATATAGGAAGTCTCCTTACATCCTTTTTTAAGTACATTTTACTGATTATGCTATTACAGTTGTCCCAATTTTCCCCCTTTGCCCCCTCCACACAGTACCCTCATTCCCTCCAGCAATCTCCCCACTTAGTTCATGTACATGGGTCATACAGATAGGTTCTTTGGCTTCTCTATTTCCTATACTGTTCCTAACATCCCGTCTATTTTGTATCTACCAATATGTACTTCTTAAGCCCTGCACCTTTCCCCCCATTTTCCCCCTTCCCCTCCCAACTGATAACCCTCCAAATGATCTCCATACATGTGGTTCTGTTTCTGTTCTAGTTGTTTGCTTAGCTTTATATTTAGATTCAATTATTTGATAGTTGTGGATTTACTGTCATTTTAATGTTCATCATTTTGATCTTCTTCTTTTTCTTATATAATTCCCTTTAGCATTTCATATAATAATGGCTTGGTGATGATGATGAACTCCTTTAACTTGACCTTATCTGGAAAGCACTTTATCTGCCCTTCCATTCTAAATGAGAGCTTTGCTGGATAAAGTAATGTAGGTTATAGGTCTTTGCTTTTCATCACTTTCAATACTTCTTGCCAGTCCCTTCTTGCCTGCAAAGCTTCTTTTGAGAAACCAACTGACAGTCTTTTTGGAACTTCTTGTAGTTAGCTCTGCTTTTCTCTTGCTGCCTTTAAGATTATCTCTGCCTTTAAGATTGCCCGAGGGCTGGATTTAGCTCAGTGGGTACTTCGATTCACAAGCACTGCTAAGATTGCCTGAGCAGGGTCTGCCAGGCCCAGTTCTCACTCAAATGGGCTGGACCCAGTTCGTCTCTTTCATCTCCAGGGCCTTCCCTCTCGTCACCTTTCCCTAGCCACCCTGAGCATAACCTACCCTTTGCCTCCTCTGGTGCCCTCACAGCACTGGATCCATGGGCCTGAAATGGCGTGGAATCTCCCCATGGCTTGTTCGTGCAGCCAGATCTGGGCAGAATGCACCTCCTAGTTGCTCTCCCCTGAGTTTTTGGCACCTTTTCCAGAATCCTTGCCTGGTGTCAGATTTTTTGCGGGACCAGTTCTTTAATGGTTCAGTGAGACCATCAGGAGCCTTGGTTACAACCAACTCATTCTACAAATAGGTGGAGGAGCGGTGGTACCTGAACCATTCAGAACTGAGTCATTTTCTCTGGATGTTTACGGATACAAAGATTCATTGAAAGACCTTGAGAAAGCAGGTCTAATTATTAGTCACTCAGGTGCAGGAAGCTGTGTGGAGACTCTGGAAAAAAGGAATCATCCTACAGTAGTTGTAAGCGAAAAGTTGGTGAACAATCATCAGCTGGAATTGGCAAAGCAACCATACGGACAGCATCTCTTCTGCTGCCCCTGCAGCATGCTTCCTGGGCTGTGTCAGTCCATGGACTGGAGACACTGAGATGTCTTCCTCCTGGCCAGCCAGAAAAATTTTCTGCATTTTTGGATAAAGTTGTTAAATTACAAAAATAGACACTAAACTCTCAACACTTTAAAAAACATCCCCCCAGATCCAACCTATGGAACTTGATTAAATCAAATTAAATACACAGTATATATTTGCAGAATAATATAAATTAAGAAACTTCCTACATCTATAGAATGTTAGAAAATTTTATTCTGTGTATATAAACATTTGGGTTCAAATAGTAATTACAGTTCAGTAAATTTATTAGATTTTCCGAAAATCATTATATTTTAGTATTAGAAATATGTAGTGACCGTTCACAGGTTTTACCCTGGACTCCCAAATAGAATTAGAATCCTGAAAAAAAATTAAATTGGAAAAATTTGACAAAAATCTCAAATGTAGTTAGTTTGATTTTTCTAAGAGTAGAAAAATGAAATAGTAACAAACTCGTAGAAATTTTTTGAGTCAGCATCTTTAGCTTCATAATCCAAGAAACAAATTTTTTTCACATATTTTATTTTAGTTTAGTTTAGTTTAATTGTTCAAGTACAGTTTCTGCCTTTTGCTCCCATCCCAGCTTACCTCCCAAGCCCTCCCCACTTCCCTCCCATTTCTACCACCCACCCTTGTTTTTTGTCCATGAGTCCTTTATACTTGTTCCTGTAAACCCTTCCCCCTTTCCCCTGAAATTTCCTCCCTTCTCCCCTCTGGTCATTGTCAGCCTGTTCTCTATTTCAGTGTCTTTGGTTATACTTTGCTTACTTGTTTGTTTCATTGATTAGGTTCCTGTTAAAGGTGAGATCATATTAAAAAGCAAAAATGATGGTTATGTTCTGTACAATAAAAAGCTCAATAAATACCTAAAAATTTAAAAAAAGATTTTCTCTTTATCTTTAACCTTTGACATTTTAATTATAATGTATCTTGTTGTGGTCCTCTTTAGATCCAACTTATCTGAGATTCTCTGTGCTTCCTGGACTTGTATGTCTATTTCCTTGGCCATATTAAGAAAGTTTTCTTTCATTATTTTTTTAATAAGTTCAATTTCTTGCTCTTTCTCTTCTCCTTCAGGCACTCCTACAATTTGAATGTTGGAACATTTGAAGATGTCCCAGAGGTTCCTAAGCCTCTCCTTGTTTTTGTTTTTGATTTCATTTTTGTTTGAATTCTTGTTTCTTCTTTTTGTTCTGGTTGAATGGTTATTTCTTCCTTTTGTTCCCAATCATTGATTTGAGTCCCGGTTTTCTTCCCTTCACTGTTGGTTCCCTGTATATTTCTCTTTATTTCATTTAGTGTATCCTTTATTTCTTCCTTTATTTTAGGGCAGTACTCAGTGATTTCTCTGAGCATCCTGATCACCAGTATTTTGAACTCTGTATCTGATAGTTTGGCTACCTCTATTCCATTTAGTTCTTTTTCTGGAGTTTTGTTCTATTCTTTCATTTGGGCCACATTTCTTTGCCTCCTCAATTTGGCAGCCTCCCTGTGTTTGGTTCTGCACATTAGGTAGAGCTGCTTTGACTCCCTGTTAGTAGCAGGGCCTGTTGTATTAAAGCACAACAGTAAGTTGTATGGAGCAGAGCCTTAGCTAATCGCCAGGGCAGGGCAACCCATGTCACCTCTCTGTGGCTCTGTGTAGGGGAGGGCTCAGAGAGGGGACAAGACACTGCCTGGCCTCTGGAGTTCTGTCCAGGAGGAAGATGTCTTCTGGTACTCTCCCTGTTGCCAGTCACTTCACTTTCTCCCCATATGCCACTAGTGCCCTTCCAGTTGTTGCCCTGGTGCTGAATTTTAGGGTGGGTCTCTGTGAGTCCTAAATCAGTTGCAGGCCCTTTAAGAGAAGGGTCTTAAAATTCCCACAGTTTCTTCTGTTGCCCCAACACCCATTGGATATTATAGCCACAAGTTTTAGGGACTTACCTTCCTGGTGTTGGAATGCTGGGCTGGGTGTCTGGCCAAGGGCTGGGATCCCTCTTTCCCAAGGAATTCCTTCCAATTTTTACCCACTACAAGTGGATGCGGTACCGCTGGTTCCATGTGTCCGTGCCTCCCTGCTCCTCCCCGCTGCTCTCCACCTCTCTGCACCTCTCCATGCTTCTCCATGTCTCTGCCCCTCCTGCCCATCTGAATGAATGTGGCTTCTTTAAATCTGTGGTTGCCAGTCTTCCATACAGCTTGATTTCCTGATATCTCTGGGCAATGTTTGTTTTGTAGTAAAGTTGTAATTTTTTATGTAGTTGTGAGAGGAGGTGAGGCGTGTGTACAAATGCCTCTATCTCAACCGGGTCTTTATTTTCTTATCAATTTTTCCATGAACCTAAAACTGTTCTAAAAAAAATAGCCTTTTTTTTTTTAATGAAACACTAAGCTTGGGCAAAAGGGACTACTCTTGTTTGTGGATGCCCAATTACTTTTGAACACTTTCCCAATGTTTTGAATACTGTGATCCCCAGTTTGAATCACTAGAACTACATTTCCCAGCCTACCTTGCCATCTGGGCCAGTTAACATAGACTCTGCGAATCAGATGCAACTAAGTGAGACTGACCAGGAAACGAGTTAGGTAGGAAACAGATGGGCCACTGCAGAGGCTGCCTGGGTATAGGTCATCGGCAGGGGCAGCAAATTCCTGGCCATGGCAGAGGCAGTGTGTGTGGAGTCGGCAGCAATAGCAGCTCCCTTCTGGGCCAGTTGTGCTGTTCTGGACATTGTTCCCAAAAATCCAGTGTAGACTTTGTTTCTCTGCCCCTTCCAAAGATTCTGTGAGCTCTCTAGTGTCCCATAATAAATTCCTTCCTGCATAAAACTAGCTGGAGTAAATTCTGTTGCCTTCAGCTAAGAAAGATGACTGATATAATGTAGGTTTTGTTCTAATATTTATTTTACTATGAAAATTAATTTAAAATAAATATTTTAATACATACATCTTTGTCTGCATTTTGATTTTTTCCTGGAATTACAGTGAATTCCAGGAAATGGGTTATGAATATTTTTCGATTATTGATCCATAATATCAAATGGCTGGCTAGACCGTTGAAACCAGTTCACATTCCTGCCAGCAATCTATGAAAGGCCTGCCTTACCCTCACTTTTGCCATAATTGTGTTTGTTTTTATAGCATGGAAGTGCATGACGCTGTCAGGCTCAGAGTTGGGCAGGAGAAAAATCTATCTTTGCTTTCTCTCACTTTCAGAAAAGAAACCAACCAGCTCAGACCCTCTGGGCTATGGGAACTCAGGGTGAGGCCAAGGTCTCTGCTCTGGGCATGGCTGCAGCCCAAGGAACAAAGGCCCAGAGGTCAGGTTCTGGGTTGAGGGGTCTCTGTCAAGGAGTTCCACGTTCTTGAACTAGCACTGTAGGGGTGGCCAGTTGCTCTTGGCCCCATCTCCTGACTGCCTTTTTCTTTATTATTTAAATTCAAACTCCTATTTCAAAGAGATCTCTATTCATTTTGCTTCTCCACTTGGAGGTAACATGGTTTTGTTTTTGTTAAAAAAAAAACAACCTTGACTTTCTGGTTGTGGGTTTGTATTGAACCCACTGAAAATTAGTTGTGTGTCTTAAGTAAGTCTGTTAACCTCTCTCCACTTCAGTTGCCTCTTCCTTATTTATTTATTTTCAGAGATAGGGAAAGGTAGGGAGAGAAACATTAATACATGAGAAAAACCGGGGACCAGGCTCACAACCCAGGCATGTGCTGTGAGCGGCAACCTTTTGCTTTGCAGGATGACGCTCACCACACTAAGACACGATGGTCAGAGCCAGTTGCCTCTTCTTTAAAATAGGGGATTATAACACCTACCTCCCAGGGCTGGCATCAGGAGCAAAGGTGATCATCAGCTCAAAACCTGGCACGGTGCCTGGTACTCGAAGACCCACAATGGATGCTCATCTTCCTTTCCCTTTCTCTCAAATCCCCAGCAACCATCAGTTCCTCCATGTTGTCCTGGGGTCACTACTACAAGTTGGCAGGGGCGGTGAGTGCTGCCCTTCTTAATGCCAACTTCCTGGGAGTCGCTGGAGAAGCCTGGGGCTCACAGCCCAGGCTGGGGCTCTGCACCCCGATGGTTGCTCAGTGCAGCTGTTTGCACAGGTTGGCTCTTGGGAACAATGCACAGCCAGCATCAGGGGATTCTCCGCACAGACAGTCCTGGTGGGCCAACAAGGGTCAAGCCAACTAGCCCTTCCAGCTCCTAGTTCTCAGGCCCCCACTGGGAAACCCAGAGGGTCTTTGCAGAGAAGCCCCTCCCTGTGTGAGGCAAGGCCCAGAGTCACCTGTAGAACCACTGAGGACCGTGCAGCAGACTGCCTGGGCAGTGAACACTGGCAGATTCTGAGACTTTATTTTTTTTATTGGACCATATTTTATATTAACTGGGAATTGTGCCTTAATTTAATGTACTTTTATCTTTTAAAAAATTTAAGATCCTTGTAAGTGATAAAAAATATAGTTTCAGGGCATTACTGCAGGCAGTAAACCGAGAACTTCGCATTTGCCTGAGCAAGCTCACTCTGAAAAAGGTGTCCATCTTGTTCTGAGGGAGGAGATAGGGCAATGCTTTGACCTCAGTCCTGAGCCTGTGGTCAGTAGGGTCATGGGACTGCTTGGGATTAACTGAAGGCAAAGTGCAGAGGGCAGAAGTGTTGAACTAGCCTCCCCTCCTCAAGCTTGGTCTTCCCAAACCTGCTACTTTGATGGTGCAGTTTTTTCTTTTTTTCTTCAAGTAACAAAACATCCAACTGAGAAGAGACTGACCAATCAGGGGTTTTTATTGCCCCAAACAAGAAGCCCAACAGTTGGGAGATTCCAGGATTAGTTTAGTACCTAAATTATGTGATCAGGGGCCCAGTCACTTTCTGTTTCTTCCTCTGTCACTCTCAGTCTGCCCTCATGGTCACCAGATGGCTGCCACTGTTCCGGACTTCACACACGGGAACAACTGTGTCCATCAAAAAGGAAGAAAGGCATTGTTTCCAGAGCCTGTGATTTTTGGCTCCTCCCATCATGTGTTTCTCTTCAATCACACTCCTTTTTTCTCCCCCTAGCAATAACCACCATGCTG